GAGGAGGGGGAGCAGGAGGAGGAGGAGGAGGAGGAGGAGGAGGAGCAGGCGGAGGAGGAAGAGGAGCAGAAGGAGGAAGAGGAAGAGGAAGAGGAGGGAAAGGAGGAGGAGCAGGAGGAGGAGGAGGAGGAGGAGGAGGAGGCCTCGGTCGTCCAAACAGACGACCGCGTCGACGACGACGACGATGACGACGACGACGACGACGACGACGACGCGGTGGGCGCCTTCGGAGGAGGGAGGCGGGACTGTCGGCCCTCGGCAGGGCGACACCGATCGCTCTGGGGGCGCTTGGGAGCGCCCAGACGTCCCGGCGGCCGACCCGAGTTGTCCGCCGTCCGTGGCCCAGGCTTTTTTGGCCGCTGTTCTGGAGGCCACGGGGCAGGGGAAGTTTGTCATCAAAATGCACACCATCTCGAATGTGGTCTTAACCGGCTACCTTCATGACTCGGCGGGATGGCGATGGGGGAGCCACGGCAAGGGAGGACAGAATTTTCCGAACTCGTTAAGCATATGAATAAACACAATCGCATGATGGATGGCTTGTGTATGTTTTGTTCAGTGGGCCCTTTCTCTCTTTGACTATACCCCCCTCGAGTCTATTCGATATCGATTACTTACATCACGAAGACCTCCCAGAAGTTGCTTCCCAATCCTTCGCGTTTGGCGACATTGCGTCCACCAGCTCAGGTAGTGGCGAGGCGTCCCGGCTTTCTTAAAAGGCCCATCAAATATTGTTACATGTTGTGATCTGCGCGACATGCTATTAGAACGGTTTTGACAGAGACGGCTTGATTTCAGCACATCGGCGTTAGGTCCTAAGAATTACGTTGTTGTTATCAATGCATGCTTCTTTTGCTCTGATCGCACGCCGTGGCAAACGTGTAGGACTGCCGGGACCATCGGTCCCTGCTCAAGACGTTGCTTCCTCATCTCAGTATCCTTTATCCGACCCCCATCCCCATCCCCATGCCCTTCGAGACCCCCACCAGATTGCCACCCCAGTTGGGGATACACTCCTCGAAACTCGAAGGGAACGACCTATATCCCCATCCAAGGGGGGAAATCGGCCAGTGGGGCCCAGGCCGCGCCGTTGGGGATGGGGATCGGTTAAACGATACTCAGAACAGCGCTTGAACAGCGTGTATTCGGCGTCACCCCAACATACTTATGCTATGTGTGTGTGTCGCCCACGGGGGGGGACGCGCGCACCGAGAAATCTTACAGTATATGCGTCGTGGCGGGCGCTATCTGGCCACACCGCTCGGGCAACGATACACTACAAGATGGGTGTACTATATGTTCGGGTCGGACGCGCGCCTCCAAGGAGGACATACAGTGAGCGGCTTGAATAAGGAGCACCTACTTTTGAAAAGGGGCTCGGTCGTTCCTTGGGTTTGCATGCGTTATGTACAGTTCCTTATGCGTTATTTGTTATTTATCGTTCCTTATGCGTGACTCCTTGGGATAAAAAAAGGGGCTTCTAGTTGTCGTTCCTTAGGTCAGGCCGATGACTGTATAGTATCAGCATGCCTCGGTGCGTCCCACCCCTCGGCCCGCCCGCCTGCCGGCGAGGAGTCCATGTCTCCGTACGGCATCCGGATCGTGCAGGCGCGGGGCGCCGGGCCCTGCGGGGCTGCGCGCGCGGGGGGCCGGCGCTGCTCCCACCTGGGGGGGCCCTTCCAGCGGCAGGGCGAAGATCCAGGCCGCCCACGTGTGTCGGTATCGTTTCACCGATCCCCATCCCCATCGAGGCCCCCACCAAATTACACCCCCAGTTGGGGATGCACCCCTCGAAGCCCGAGGAGTGCGGCCTGTGTCCCCATCTAGGGGGTTAGATCGGCCAGTGGGGCCCAGCTCGCGCTGGTGGGGGTGGGGATCGGTTAAACGATAATTACTCACCACATGCAAGCAGTGGCGAAACGTCCCGACTCGCCCGTAGTTGGCGGCGAGCGCTGTGGGGGGAAGTGAGAAGGAGAAAGCCTTCTCAAAAGGCGGCGGGAATTCTCAGACGCCTTCCGGCCTTCTGAAAAGTGCTTTGTGTCATCGGGGAAGGCTGAGGAAACTTCTCAGAAGGCCGGGGATCTCCCGAGCTGTCTGAGAAGGCCCGCCTTTTCTCATTTCCCCCCCAGGCGCGCCGCCGATGTAGGCCCACGAGAGAATGTTCTGACCCCGTTGTGCGCCACCCAGCGCGCACCGCTACTCACAAAGTACCTTCTCGCAGACGTCTGAAGACAAACATGTCTCCCTATATGTAATGGATCGTAGATCCCCCGCAGCGGATCCGGGCCACTTGCGAGCAGTTACTTTGCGAGTCCGTGGAACGCGCTTGTCTCGTGTGTCTTGCGTTACGTCGGGCGTGTTTTTCTACAGAAGGAATATTCAAAAATAGTAAAACATAGTCTGGGGACTTTTTTGAGTTTTTTTTTGTTTTTTGTTGTTGTTGACATTTTGGGGTATTTAACTTCCGTCCAAAATCCCTCTGCAGGGGGACAGGCCCGACTTAAGGCTTCCGCGAAAGGCAGCGCCGAGGCCCCGCTCGGGCGACCTCCCGCGGGGGGCGGGGGGGCGCCGACGGGGGGGCGGTGACCTTCTGTTGGATTGTGGAAGTCGATTCATGGAGGGGAAGCCTGTTGCCAAGTAATTTCCAGATGTCCAGAACCTGTGCTACAACTGTTTGAAGATATACAAAAACATGCGTCGAGCATGATCGGGGCATTTCATCCGACATGTTGAGACACATTTTTTAAATTCGATGATCGGACTGTCAGGGCGTCCACTGTCGTGGCGTCCACGACTGTTGGCCGAGGGGCGGCAGAGACGGCGGCGGCCCTGGCCGGCGGTTTTTTTTCGTTCTCGGGCCCGGCCGGAGGGGCTCCCGTCGCCGCGGCTTGGAGGAGCCCCGGGAGGCGGGTCGATGCCACCAGCAGGTGGACATGCGCGGCACCGGGCGTGCATACAGACTGGGTAGTCGAAGGCCAGACTGTCAGATTGGATTGGGCCCCAAGGGCCAATCTGGCCCGGCCAAAATTGGATGATTTGGGTTATTCGCCAGACTGGATTCGCGTTGGCTCCCTCGCCAGATTACCCGCGTTTGCCAGTTCGGGCCTGCCAGATTGGCGCCAGATTGGCTTCGACTACCCAGACAGCGGGCCTGGAGAATACTGCGGCAAAAGGCCGGGCTGCAAGAGCTCAAGCAACCGTCGCATACGATGTAGAGCAGACGCAAGGAGAAGGAACACCAGGCCCATCGAGAGGAAACCAGCAATCTGATTGTCACCGCCCTGCTGCCCACTGAGTAGTATTTTGTCAAGCGCCCTAGCTATCGAGCATTCCGCGATGACGTTGAGACCAGGACGCAACAGCTGGCGGAGCTGATAGTTCAGGGGTGCCAGTCTTGCTCAGCGGCCTCACTAGTTATCAGTATCGAAATGGACTGTCTGGTGCCTCGAGCCGTCGGAGATCTAACGAATGTAAGTAGCAAGTCGCCTCGCAAGAAGAGGAAGTGGTATTGCTCTCCACACAAATGTGCGACACAACTCACGGGTTGATGTACGAGGAGGCCATGTTTTACGGTTTCAACTCTTCTCGACTCCTCGCGGATCCCCACCAGCAAGTTGGGAACGAGACTCCTCACGAGCGGCCGCGATGCAACAAACTACGAGCGCTACACGCTGGAGCGCTTCCTGCTCCGCACCGGCGCCCTCAATCGGAGGGAGGAGAAGCGATACCAACACCACCAGGGGGCCCACCTCCAGCGAGGAGGTCCACGATGAGTCCCCGAGCGAGAGACTGGGGATGTCTCGAGCGAGAGGGGCGGACCACGCCACCAGGTAGACCCCCCTTGCCTCCGCGAATCTCCTCGCCTTGATGGTGTTGGTGTCGCCTTTCCTTGTCCCTACTCAAGCTGGGGAGAGGGGCTCTTTGCGGCCCACCCGTCGCCTGCGGCGGCCGCTGGCGCCCTGGCCTCCAGCAGTGGCCTGGGCCCGAAGCGGAGAGGACCTGGACCTGGCAGCCCCCAGCAGCAGAGCGGCTTGAAGCGCCCGGCTCCGCGCCCACCCGTTGCCTCTCGGTTCTGGGCCGGGCTGGAGGTCCTCCCCGACTGGTGAGGTGGTCGTCCTGCATGCCGAGTGGCCATGTTGACCGAGAGGCACCGCCTGCTTGGAGCACGCTGCTTGCCGGCGGTGCCCGCGGGTATTGTTTTCGCTCTGCGAAGTCCCCAGCTGCCGCTAATGCCCCGCGCTGGCACTGCACCTGTGGGCTACACCCCAGTAAAAGGTCCCCCCTGTCGAGGGTTGCTGGAGCTGCCCCAGGATTTCGGAGGCCCTGGGCCCTCTGGGCCTCGTGCTCCTTGGGAGCCCTGGGGGCCTCCTGCTGCTGCTCCTCCCCCCCATCCTTTTCCTCATCCCCCCCCTCCTTCCCCCCCCCCCTGGGGAATCCTGGGGGCACCTTGGGCACGGGGCACTTCTGGCAAAGCCCGTCACTGCGGGCGCCATGGCCCTCGCCCACCGCACCGGCGCGGCCCTCGGCCTCGAGCTGCGAGCGGACCCGGGCCCCCCGCACCCGCCTTTTCGGAGGCCCGCGCCGCTTGGGGGGGGTTGCCTGCGCCTTGCCCTGCCCTGCCTGCGGGCGCCGCGCGAGGGAGGTCAAATCACTGAGAGCAAGAGGACCCCTGACCGCCCTGACAGCACGATGCGGACGTGGCCTCACTGAGGCCCCCGTTTTCACGTTTAGGGGTCATAGAAGTGGCCAGTTTGGCCCGGCCACCATCCATAATGTTCCTGGCCCTCCCAACTCAGGTCCCCTCCCAAAGGGTTATAGGGTTAAAAGTTGGGCCTGTCCCTCTACAGGAGACAGATTCAACAATAGTCCAACAATAGTCTGGGGACCATCTTCTGATTCTTTCTTGACCATGTGGGAGTACTTTCTTTGAATCTTTTGTACTCTTCGCCCACGGTCCCCCTGTAGGAGGGCAGGCCCGACCTGAGGCCAATCCTCGAGGGGCCCCGCCCCCACCTCCGCCGCGCGCGGTGGAGGCGGCGCCCGCCCGTGGCCCCTGCAAGAGGCGCCGGCCCGCCCCCGAGGCCCCAGAGCCCTGCGGCCGCGCCGCCACCCCCCGCGGGGCCGCGCCGCGGCGCCTCTCCGGGGGGTCCCACGGCGCGGCCCCGCGCGGGAGGCCGCTCCAGCGCGGGCCAGCCTGGCCGAGGGCCCGGGCGAGGGGCGCCGCGCTGTGCGGCCGCCTTCCCCGGAGCCCCTGCGGGCCCGTGTCCTCGGAGGCCTCTGCTGGGGGGGGGGGGTCACCAAGAAGTGGTAGAAATTACGGCCAGCAGGGGCGGATTCCAGCCATGTGGGACTAGTCCCAACCAGCAGCTGGTGCCAAGTACAACCGCTTTGGAAGCTTCTCGGGGGTGACTTGCAGGTCCCTCAGAATCTCTGCTTCTCTGCTGAAGAATTGGAGGTTAAAGGCTGTTTCGAGGCTCCTTAGAGGCTCCTTGGAGACACCTTACTGGCTCCCTCGAGGTTCCTTAGAGGCTCTTTAGAGGAGCTTCCAGGATGTCTGAAGGATTTCTGGAGGATCGCTTAGGACTTCCAAGGCTTTCCAAGGATTTCCGAGGATCCCTGAGGGTTCGAGAGGATTTCAGAGGATTCTGGAAGGATTCCGGAGGATGTCTAACGGATGTCTGAAGGATTCCTGAAGGATTCCAGAAGGTTCCTGAGGATTCCAGAAGGCTTCCTGAAGCATTCCTGGAGAATTTCTTAGAGTTCCTGAAGGATTTCCGAGGCTTCCTGAAGGATTCCTGAAGGACTCGCGCAGGAGTCCTGCAGGAATCCTGCGGGTTCCCGAAGGATTCCTGTGGGTTCCTGCGGGCGCGGGACTCTCCGGGCTCCGAGGGCGACGCTTCCAATGGAAGCGTTTGGTGCCCTCGGGGCCTCGACGAGCCCCAGAATCCCTGGGGAGGGAGCGTGGGGGCGAGCGGGTCGCCTTGCCCCGCGCCGCCGCCGCCGAATCGTTCTGTACCCGCCTCCTTCCACACCCCCTAAGGCGACGCTTCCAATGGAAGCGTCTCGTGCCTTCGTGGGTTTGGAAAGCCATGGGGGGGAAGCCGAACGAGTCACCTTCCCCTCCGCCGCCGAGTCGTTCGGCCCCTGCTTCCTTGTCTGCGGGCGCGTGATTCTCCAAACTCCCGAGGGCGACGCTTCCAATGGAAGCGTTTCGTGCCCTCCGGGGGTTTCGGGGAGCTCCCGCACCCATGTGGAGGGAGATCGTGACCGAACGAGTCACCTTGCCCGCCGCCGCCGCCGACGAGTCGTTCGGCCCCTGCTTCCTTTCTGCGGGCGCGGGATTCTCCAAACTCCCGGGGGCGACGCTTCCAAAGGAAGCGATTCGTGCCCTGGGGGGGTTCGGGGAGCCACCGGACCCATGGGGAAAGGAAGGATGGCCGAATGGGTCACCTTGCCCTCCGCCGCCGCCACCTTCCCCACTTCCTTCTCGAATGCAGGTTCAAACAAACACATCACCGCTTGACAGGATAAGGAGGAGGAGCAGGAGGAGGAGGAGGCGGAGGAGCAGAGGATAAGGAGGAGGACGAGGAGGAGGACGAGGAGGGGAA